TCAGCCCAGGCCTGAGCAGTGGCTTTGAGGGAAGGAGGGAAGGGATCAGGGGCTGGAGAACTGCAATTATGGCAAATCCAACCTACTGGGAAATGGCTCAATTAAGGGTTTTAAAASACAGGGTGTAAGAGGCAGGAGCAGGTGCAACTGCTCCTCTAGCAAGAAAAACAAGTGCTTTCTTGACACAGGGCTTTGATTGCCTGATCTACAATAAAAACAGCTTTTTTTTTTTTTTACTTCTAAGGGCTCTTGTTGACAATCCTGACAAGGCAGGACCTCCTCACTCCTGTATTTCTGCTCCCATTCCCCTTTGCAAGGACACAGCCCCCCGCACATTCTGGCTCAGAAGGGAGAGCTGGCTGACCCCAGGTGCCACCAGAGCCCTGCAGTGCCCCTGGGGTGGGGACACGGTGTGGGGCAGGAGGGGACACACCCTGCGGTGCCACCAGCCCTGGTCCCTGTGGGTGCCACACTCAGGTGGCCCTGCAGCCACCCTGGGGTCCCCCCTGTCACCCCCCAGCCCTGCCCAGTGTCACCAGCATCTCCTGCTGCCCCCTCCCACAGCTCAGCCACCTCTCAGGGGTCAGGGTTGAGAGGAAATACTCACTGCCTTCGCTCTGGTTGTCCTTGTTGGAGTTGTACACCTGGAAAACACAAGGAGAAAGTCTTGTGAAGCTGGTGTCACCTGTCACCCCAGTGCCAGGACCCCAAACACCACCACGACCTTCTGCACACAAATGCTGGGCTGYCCCAGCCCCAAAATCCTGACYAGGACAGCTCTTAAAATGAAAGAATGCAATAGGATGGACAAGGTAAAACAAAAAATTACTGGGGTTTCTAAACAAAACTAAGGCGGGATTGGACTAGAYRACCTTTAAWGRTCYCTTCCAACCCAAACTATTCCATGATTCGATGATTCCTCTCCTGAAAGGCACTGATGAAGGATATAAACTCAGAGCAAAGAGGCAATTYCCTGATGGGTGTTACAGTAAGCTCTGGTAGGTGTCACCAAGGCACGGAGCAGGTACCACCCCCAAAGGGACAGAAACAGGAGAGGCAGAGACTGGAGAGGAACAGGAATATCCTCAATTCACCAGGAATGTCCTCAGTTCACCGAGGACAGCAGGATGAGGCCATGAAGCATCCAGCACTGCCCACAGCACAGCCCATCCCAAACCTCTCCAGCCCCCAGGTATTGGTGCTCCTCCTCCCACTGAGCACCACCAGAGCTGCCAAGATTAAAGGGATCTTCCAGTGGGTACAATAAAAAGGGAAAACACTGGCAGAAGGTTTTAATCATGATGTGAGGGCAGTTTAAAAGCCCACGATAATGCCAAGAGCAGCTCTAAGAAGATCAGCCCTCAGACAGATTGTATTTCTCCAGCTCAAGAGAATAAAATGGTTTAAAATAATCCTTCAGGGCTCAGAGTCCTACCAGGAACACACACACAAACACATCCCAGTGCTCCAGCATCATCCTGGCTGCACCAGCCACAGAACAGGACAAGAGGCTGGTGAAGCTGTGGRGAACAGGGCTGGGAGCCCCTTCCAGGGGAGGCAGGGAGCTGCCTGCATCACATGCTGCATCCTGAAATAGCCACGGGCACGGCACGCTGCCAAAAACCCTGGGCACAACAGCAACCCTGGGCACAACAGCAACCCTGGGCACAACAACAGCAACCCTGGGCACAACAACAGCAACCCTGGGCACAACAACAGCAACCCT